GCTTCATTATACTATACAAATAAGGATTGAAACGGTTACAATATGAATAAGCAGAAAATGCTCGCAACAAAAATATTAAATATAAGGTTTTATTTGATTTTATTTTCTTCAAACGATTCGCAGTTTCATGAACTGATATATTTTTTCATAACATACATAGGTTCTTTACCGTTAAGGTTCTTATAATATACACAGGTACTTTTATCGATGTTCTCTGGAGTGGCGTGTCGAATAATATTGTATGTTTCTTTCTCTGATGCATCACCAAATCTTTTCGCCATTTCCTACAGTTAGCAACTGTTTGAATGAGACAATGGAAAAGCGAGCTTTATTACAGATCGACACAGGGATTCATACCTACCACCTCCGAAGATAGGTGAATCGCAGCAGTTGATTGGGCAGTAAGGAGAAGGTGCAAAATTAAAACTGATGAAGAAAACTGATTTTTTTGCGGATTTCTGCTTTGATTTGTTAATACCATAGGTATATTTAAACACTATTGGTCTGAACTTAAGGAGTGGAATGGTCGCATACATTAATTCGATGGAAAGATTAATGAATTTTATCTTTATTATAAAATGTAAGTAGTTTTATTTACATTGTTAGGGCAGACATTCAACAACTGATAGAAATTTAGGGCTTAGTCAAAATTTAGTAATTAGTCCACACTTAGTAATTATTTAACATTAAGTAATTGATCTATATTGTTTTGACTGAAATTTAGTAATTTATCGAAATTGATCATCTTACATGTGCAAATTAGTTATTTCCAACTTCGATTCTTTTAAAAAGTTGCAAATTAAATTTTCTTTTGACAAATATTACAACTCAAACTCAAAATACATAATATTCGACTTTTTTTCATTGTTTTCTTTTCCATGACAACTGAATTGTTTAGAGATTGCCATGTCAACTAATAAATTCGTAACTTCAAAGTCTCTATAATCATATTGGTCTGACTTTATCTAAGAATACGAAATTCAGAAGCCAAACTAAAGTAATATAGAATTATGTTGACAAATAGTATTGTCAAAGTTAAGCAAAACATTATAAAATTGACAAAAGGAAATGCCGAACTAAAGCAAGAAGTTATAAACTTTGCAATTGGTGAAACCGAACTGACCGTTGATTGATCTTGAAATAGATTTGAGTTGATTGATTTATTATCAGACTGAAGCTATATATATATTAAAAATTTAACAGTAGAAGTCGAACTAAAGCAACAAGCGATAAAATTGACGATAGTGGATGGCAAACGACACCGAACTCTTCTATTCTGTCTCATTCTACCTTTATTCCTCTCTAGAAAAAAAAATTATCATCGTAAAAAACTTGAATTGGCATATCCCCTTGGCAAGCGATCTTAGCCAGTCGGCTGCAATCTGCGGTCCCCCGAAGCTGTTTCGTGTGACCTTGAACAAGGTTGCCCTAACGGTGTCCGGCGACTGCCGCGGTCCGGGCGACGTGACGTAACCTGCCTCCCAAACAGTGGCGCCCGGCGTATGGGCGGCACCTACGCCCAAACTATCACATACATTGTACCTCTTCAAAGTACTTGTTGAACGAGGAAAACTATGGCATGAAGAGGACAACCGACGTGCGCCTATCGGGATTTTAATCAGTCTAAGACAATTTTAACGTTGATAACGGAAGATACAATTGTGTTCGCGTGAAAATATTTTTTTTTTAAAATATTTCCAGCAAACAAAACGGTAATTTATGAAATCAGATAAAAGGGTCGATATTCTTAGCTTAGGTTATACCCGCGGACTCTGTTGAACAAAACCCTAATCGTCCAATAGGAGCTCGATGGCCCAACCTAACTCCCAGCACCCACACTCTTCCTCAAGCTTCCATTGCCTCGCATGCACCAGCTACGGACTTCCGTTAGTACCCAATGCTACCCATTCCAAAAAGATTTATCTTTCGCATAACCGGGCACTTAAAACATTCGTCATCAAAAATTGCGCCGGTAGTTTTCTCAAATTAAACGAGTGGATTTATTACAAGTTTAATACTTTCTGCAACTTTTCCCCAGATTTGCTTTTATGGGGAGGGAGCCGTCTCTAAAACCTGCTCCCAAACTTCGGGCGATGTGTGAAATGGACTCGTGTGTTGCTTTGGGTTGAACTGAAGCTGGCCATGAAATAACACGACCGAACTGCAAAGTTTGCAGCTTAACTATACTCAACTTCTGAAAGGTCAACTCCCCAACTAATCTGCCAAAAAAACGTCTACTGCCCTGAACATAGCTTATTTTATATTTTGCCGTAAGGCAAAAGTTTGATGTCAAATAAAATGTATGCGATAAAAACCTATAAAGGTATTTTTGTGTCAATTTACACAGAATATATTTTTGGTTTGATTAGCCGAGGAAGTTATCGATCATCCGTGTAGTTTTGAGAGTTCGAAAAACAGAATCCACTGCAGTAGTGAATTTCGTCATTGACTGGTAATATAACAAAAACTTTGTTTTAGTGTCCCATTGTAAATTCATGAAACATTCACTTACAAAAAACTGAAAAGGAAACAAAATGTCAAAGCGGACAAAAATTACGCAAAGGTAAAAAAATGACCAAAAATGGAAAAAAGTAGAAAAAATAACTATAAATTTCTATCACACATATATCACGATAAATATTCATTTATATGTAAGCTACGTCTACAATGCACGGATGAAAAGACTCGAATGTTATCACAATTCGAACCCCTTGTTATAACCAACACAGCAGCAGTTGCACCCGACACAAATCCGCGTGTTTCTTTCGGCGAAGCAGCGGCCGAGATTGGTTGGGGGCTGAAACCCGAGACGCGCACGGGGTACGAAGGGGGGCCCTGGCTGGTGAAAGCGATTCGACAGTCGTGCGGTGGGCAGTGTTGAAGGAACACGTTCAGCCAGTTGCACCTGCGTTGAGCTCCGGTTGTCAGATGCATTTGATTATCTTCAATCGTGATGTTTGCGTGTGTTTGAATCAGTGATGTGCGTCTACACATGCAGTTTCATAGTCTACGTCTACAGGTGAACAATCGTAGGCATACGTAATCAATGCAGACAAAGGTAATCATTTTTTTGTGGCGGTGTTGCCGATTTGTGAAGAGATCGCGAGTACACTGTATTAAAACCAGTGATGTGCGTCTTTAATGATACAGATTTCCGTAGTCTATGTCTATTCGTAAACAATAGTGGGGAATATATACTGCGTAAACAATGTAGGCGAATTTAATCTATAGTTTTTCGGCTGAATAATTTGACAATTTGTGCACTTGAGATCAGGGGTTTAAGCAGTACTTCTTCACCCAGGGATATTTTCAAAATTTTGAAAGATATAATATAATTGCACAGAAACCAAAAAATCCTTGCGTAGTTGATAAAATCAACCAAAACTTTATGAGTAAGGTACATCATTTTAATGTAATGTACTAATGGATTTTTGGTTCAATTTTATCGGACAAAAGATAGATGGTGATTCAGAATTTCTGTTAATATGTTTTCAAGTTACATGTCATGACTTACGTTAGATGGTGATATCGTATATTTGTTTTTTGAGTTTTCATTTTCAAAGGTAATTTTTATATAATATTTTTTAAAGTTTCGTAAAGTGTATTAATTATTACATCGTTTCTCCGTTGTTTTTCAACTCTTTAAGAGATCTGCAAATCTGGCTGAGAGAAGTCTGTGATACTTTCAAGTACTTGGTTTAACTTCCTGAATTAAAAATGAAATTTCAAATATAAAAGTTCATTCTACTATTGTTACTCGTTATAGCATGTTTCGAATATTTCGTATTAAATATTAAACAGTCTCCATGGATTACCTTTGTCCACGTAGACTACAAAAAAGAGTCGTGTAGACCGTATATAAATCTCATGTGATCTGTAAAGTTATAAACTTCGATACAACACTGATCCGAACTGCATGCTTGTAAATTTGCTCAGAGGGAAGGAAAGGCGTTAATGTTACTAATCTCAATTTGGCGTATTTGTTACATAAGAATTCCAAAGAATCTCGAATAAGGAATGTTGTTGATATCTCTGATAGCTATGTTTGGTGTAACTGATATGTTTTTGAGTCCAAAATCTATCTATACATTACATTTATCAATGTGCGTATCATTTTAAAAGCATAACCTACTAACACATCTCATTGAAGGACGTTTTCTAAAACTATTTCATTACTATCACGAAATTCTTCTTTCATGTTGTGATAAGTCAGTGTTCTAACCCACTTTTCGTATGGCGGTTAGAGATGAAAAGTATTATCAGCGGCAAATGTAAACTGTAAGAGCAAGAGTGTTTGCTAAACGCAATGTTTGATCTTTGCTTCCGCCTGATGCCATATGGTAAACATTTCACCGTAACCGCTGTAGTTGTTTTGCGAGTATATTGAAAGACACATTGAGACTTCTCCTGGTCATGTGGTTTAAATAAAAGTGACAGCCATCCCCCTACGACAATGTGAGTAAACTGACGCTTTAGATAGCCACCACGATAAAACGGAAAATGCTGTAGCAAATTGGATTGGAAGAAGTTAGCTATTCCTATTGGAAGACGCGAATTTCTGGACAATCGTGTTGAACGAAGGTTGTGTTTCAGTGTTGTTGGATATTTATGGGGGGAATTTAGTATGACGTCGTGTTCAAATTTCGCATGGTCTTTAAAATGCGCTAGATGCTGATAAGAGAAACCTGCTGAGTACGTGAAATTAGTACAAAGGCAAAGGCAAAAAAAGTATTTTTTGTTCTAAAAATTGATCAGAAATCGCTACATCGTCCAAAAATCTATATACTTAAATTAATGTATGTAACTAAAATAAAATGATATTTTTCTAAACGCTCACGTGACCACTTTCTTCATTTCACCTCTTCTTTTATTTCTTAAAAAAATACAATTTGCTTACAATCATATAATTTTCTAATTTGGTGATTGTATTGTTCTAATACATCAGTATTTTAGCTGTAAATCGTGAATAAAATATTGATGTTTTCCTTCATGTTCGATAGATGTCTCCACATTACACCTGGAACGGGCTTAACCTGTGTTCTGAAAATAATGATTGGTCTCTTCGTAAACTGGAAAGCAGAACAATGGCAAACGAAGTACTGAAAGTGCGACAAGATTGAGAAAATACTCGGTATGTTAAATGATAATAGTTATGTTATCTATGTGGTTGCAAGAACATCGAGTGGAAAATGTCTGGGAGATGGCTACGCAGTGTGTGTGGTTGCTGGTGCACAAGATAAGTGGTGTTCGGCATTCCGTGAATCTGCATGACAGTAATCGTTGATGAGAGTTGATCGGACTTCTGAAGTGGAGGAAAGAGAGACAAATTTCTTGTCACATTGACTGCCGGGTTAGCAGATATTAAAAATGGAAATAAAACCCATAATAATTGACAAATCAGCGGCAGTTGACACTTTAACACGTTTATTCTGTTAATGTGCGCAAATAGTTTACTTGTATATTGTCTTTATAATAATACTTTATAAACATTTGACGTGAATGAACTGTGAACGACCCCAAGAATTATAATTCAAGTACCTTTAAAGATTCTTCAGTTTTACGAACTGATATCTCATAATTAGACATGATGTTCGAGTTCCTTTCTTCAAATATAACATTTGTGAATATACGATAATTCACTACATGATATTTGTATCAAGCAAATGTAGACTTTCTGATAATTTTTCATCTGAACTCTCTCTATGATTTTTTTTTTTTTTTTCATTTTAATAATTTTGTCTGAAATTTTGATGAGAGAATTTATCTAGATGATCAATAACTTGCATCAAGAGCTCGATGGAATCATTCTCAATGAATCAACCGAGTCGTTAATTCATCGGAGAAGAGATTAATAAGCTGTTTTGACTCATTTGACTCATTTGAATCGGTCTTATTAAGACGAATATCACAGCTAAAAATGACTCGTTTTCGAGAAGAAAAACATTATCTTTTTCATGTGAATATTCCTCGAAAAAATTTCATCGGATGTAAAAACAAATTTTGTTGAAACGATTTTGGTTGCATATTTATTATCTGATCTTGTTATTTATCCCTCCATTGTATATCCGCTAACTATATCGACGAGACGACATTTCACAACGGAACTTTTGACGTCAATTGCACGATCAACGTGAATAATAAGAACCTTCTCAAGAATTTTACCATCGTCAACAACTGTATCCCATAGTCCACAAATTTATACCATCGTCAACAGCTTTACCATCGTCAACAACTTTACTGTCTTCAACACCTTTGCCGTCGTCAACAATATTATCGTCGTGAATATTGTTATCTTCAAAACTATCATCGGCAACAACATTGCCGTCGTCAACATTACCATCGTCATCAACTCTGAGTCATCAATTGTATCATCGTCAACCATTTGGCTATCGTCAACATTTTGACCATCATAAACATTCTGACCGTCGTCAACAATCTTACCATCGCCAACATTACCATCGTCATCAGTCGTTACTAATCTGACCACTCGCACTCCCTGGCCGTGAAGCTGAGCGCGCGTGTGCGTGTGGGTGTGCGGGCGATGCGTGGGCGCGGGGGCGGCGTGTGGCTGAAGCTGCGTGCGTTCGTCGCCAGGCTGCGCGCGCCCTCCGACGACAAGCAGCGACGCCGCCAACGGCAGCGGCGAGGCGGCGGCGGCGCCGCGGCGTGGGACGAGGCCGGCAGGTGAGCGTCGCCTCCCTTTGACCCGTTAGAGCCCGTAACTGCTTGTCTGTCCTGGAGGCGCCGCGCCCGAGGCACAGGCCGCCTTTCTGCGTCCTTCCTCAGGGCGACATGCTTTTGAGTCTAAAAGTTTCCTCCCCTCAAAGGTTGGGCAAATGAGAACGTCTAGAGACAGTATCTACTTGTCTGTCTTGGAGACGCCGCGTCCTAGGCTCAGGGGACGTTTTGCCCGCCATTCTGCGACCTTCCTCAGGGCAAAATGCACTGTGATTTGGACTAGGTATGGCAAAAACATCGCTTTATGAACATAGATATTTTTTAGCGGAAACATCGATGTTATAACATCGATTTTTTCTTAATATCGATGTATTTGTTCAGAAACATCAATGTTTTCGAAAAAATTCTCAGGATTTAAATAAAATTTGCAGTATCTATTATTTTATTAGTGGATTGTTCAAATCAACAACCATTGAGAACTGTCACTGTGAACTATCGCTCCCCAAACGGCAAGAAACCGTTTGCTATCGCGACTTTTCTCCAGAGTTGTTGCCATTTTGTTTTTGTTTTTACGTTGTAATTTCGTTACATTGCAATTTGAACCTTGACTGCACAGAATATTGATTAGAAAATTCATATGACTGTCAAATTTAAGGCCCAATACACTTTAAACTAATATTGACGTATTGTGTTTCACAATACAACCAGGACATTTAACTTCGAAATGTTTCATAATCTTTAAAACATCGATATTCTTATCGACATCGAAACCTTGTAGTGATGTATCAAAGTATCGATGTTTTGTTAAAATTTGCCATCACTAACTGATACGCGACGTCTCCCATCCAGTACCGTAGATACTGATTCCAGCCGCTACATTAGAGCCCAGTTTTACAAAAATGCAATGCTCAATTTAAAAGTTGTTTTCTTTCGTATCTCAAAACTTCTATTGTGAATTTTTTTCTCTTAGACGAAGATAACCTAATGAAACATATAAGCATATTTTGGCATTCCTGATTGCTACACTCGATTTAAGTAATATCGCGAAAGCATTGTACGCTTCTGGGCTAGGCGTATTCATGACTTGCGTCTTTTAGATAAATCTTCATTTAAAACCGTGTTTAGGTGACATATTAAATGTTTTTACACACAGCCATCTGTTTTACCATTAGGCAAGAAAGTGAGTTTATTTGTTACTAATACGTTATTGCCTTCGATATGGAGCTCCATATACTTCACTGCATAACTGACCTGGATTGAGAGGATCGTGGTTAAAGGGAAATATGAAAACAGTGGAATGTTGCTACGTGTTCTCTTATGGAGAGTATAATTGGAGTGAAACCTCAAAATACAAATCGAGTAGCTCATAATGTGTACTCTTCTTCCTGTTTTCTCACGCTTTTCACGGTTCTTAAACTTTTCTAGAACATTTAGAATGTATTGCAATATAATAATATCAGTAATTGTTTGGGGGAGGGGGTCGAAAGAAGTTTATTCAAGAATACATTCATTAGTGGTGATGTTAATGTACAGTATGTTATTTTTTTATAATTATTTTAAGGTGGTTTGAATTTGCCTTGGAAAGACGTAATCGGACAAGCAAATTTTCATCTTCCATTTTTCGTAACTGATCCCAATGTCTTGAATTTATGCGATTTCCTTTTCCTTCTTCTCATCCCTCTCTTGTTTCAACCCTTCTAGTCCTCTCTCTCCCTCCCTACTCCTCTCGCTTCCTTCATATCTTTATGTTCATCATCTTCTTATGTCTGTCCCTCTTTTTCGTCTCTCCCCCCCTCTAACCTGCACACTCCTCACACACCTATTCTCTTTTCTTCTCTAACATTCTCCCTTTACTTATCCTGTTCTTTCTCCCACTCCCCATCCTTTTCTCTTTCCGGTTTTTTTTATCTCTTTCCCTCAATTTCAATTTTCTCCGGCAATTGAAACTGAATTCGTCGTTGTTATTCAGAAATGAATTATATTTCTTCTTTTGAATCTTCCGAAATGTGTGTGGTTATTGATAGTCGAAAGTACGAAAAGGGTACTAAAGAGTAAAATCTGGAGTAAATGAATTGTAAGTTACGTAAAAGCAAGTGCGCGACCCCCCCCCCACCTACGCAAGAGTTGCGAATACTATTTTTCACAAGCCTTGAGCGAAAAATGTTTCGCATATGCTTCCCAATGTTTCGTGCAAGTTTTGAAATAATGTTTCGCATACAATTGGTTAGAATTTTAAAAAATTGCTCTTTCACATTCAATAAAAAACGAGAAATTTATTCCGCGCACGGCGTGTTAAAATACATAAATCTTAAATATCTTGATTGTGAGTTAGGAACAACTTTCTTATACATCGTCCGAAACAAAAGCCCCGTGTAGTAATGAGCGACATTTTTGTGGTTATAGGTGGCGATTTTCTGCGGTTCTAAAAACTGGGAGACATGCTGTGGCTCCAATACTTCTTGTCGAGTAAGTGTGTGGTTGAACACTTGATTCGGATATCAGAAAGACAATGTGGGAACAACCACAGCAAACATTTTAACACGTAAATTCATTTGTCTCTGCGCGACTTTTGAATTTTTCAAAATTCTCGAATTCTCTCGTTGCTTTAACCATCAATACACCCATTAGAGGCCCCTACACTCAACGCTTAATATCAAATATCAAGTGCCTGATTCCTGATGTATTATCCCCTTCGCTGTAACTTACGTTTGCCCGGTGTGAAGAAACGCAGATCCAATCACCTTACAAAAAATGCAAATAGTCCAAAATAAAGTCATTAGGAAGTTAATTAAAGCTCCATGTTTATACCTAACCATCAAATTCATAGACAACTCCAAATCGATACCGCTCTAGAACAAAAAATGTAGCAAATATTTTTTTTCTTCTTCTTATCTGATCCCGCTTCGAAATTCCATCTATGCCGAACAACAAATATCCTAACGACATGTTTAAACCCCCCTCCAGTTCCAAATTTCTATAAAGACATGTTAAAATCCCCCTAAACTAATAATTTCGTGTAGAATCTTTCCCTTTTCCCGTGCTATTGCTCGACAGGGCAATCCTAACACTTTATCCCCCAAAATCAAGATTAACATTCAATAGCATCTAAAACAAAATTAATTAAGAAAATGAGTCAGAGTATTCAAGTTCTCATGGAACGCCCAAAACCAAAAAAAGTCAGCATGTAAAATCAAAAGACCCGGTCGCAAGAAAATAAATAAATTGAAAAAAAGGAAGGAGGCTCCAGGCTAAGATAGTAGACATAGGTGATTATTTAAAGAAGGGTTGTGATACAAATGAACGAATCAGCTGTCGGAACGACGCCTGACGTTCTTCAGCTGACTGGACCTGCGTGTCCCTGTCGCCGGGCGAAAGTCCGCGCCAAAGTGCTTTCTCGTCCCCGGCCGTCCAGCTCCGACGATATATCTCGCTCTCGAAAGCAATCACTCAATCACACACTCGCGCGTCACAGTAGGCAATCACCGGGAGAAGCGCGGGTTCCTTTCGCCCTATCGGTTTTCCATTACGGGGAAAGTCATCTCTCGTTCCGGAGATCCATATAAATTCCGTTCTTTTTCCCCGCCCCCTGAATCGCCGGAGATTAAATTTAATCACCATCCCTTACTGCTGGATCGCTCCCGCCGCCTCTGTCACTCCGGATTCCGGGCGGGCCCACGCCCCCGCCTCTGACTTCTGCGGCCCAAGGCCCCCTGAGCGCTACAGCCCGCCTGCGCTCTCCAGCA